CCCCAGGCCTTTCTCCTTTCATTCCTTTGCTTCTTTCCCTGAAGTGGGAGGGAATGAATGGCAGCTGATGGGCAGATGGAGGAGAATTAAAAAGCAGAAATGGACATAATTGAGCTGCAGTGATTCTAGAGAGGCCCCAGACGCCCTCCCCAACAGGCCTCTGCCCTTCATTTTTCAATTAACAAATATTTATTTTGCACTCTTTGTGGCCTGGCACTCTGCAGGGAATGAAGGGCGCTGGGGATACAGATGTGAATAAGAGACATTGCATCTGCCCTCTTGGAGTTTACATTCTGGCTGGGGGAGGTGGACAATAAACAAGTAAATACACAAGGACATTTCAAACAATGCTATGTGCAGTGAAGGAAACAAAGCTGGGTACTGGATGTAGAGAGATTTGTGGGGAGTGGGGCTCCGTTAGATAAAGCCATTGGTCTGGGAAAGCCTCTCAGAGTTCTGATACTGTTGCTGAAACCTGCATGATGAGAATCATGCGCAGATTGAGGGTGAGGGCTTTCCAGGCAGAGGCCACATGAATGCAAAAGCTCTGAGGAAGAGAATAGAGACTAGTGTGACTGGAGTGAAGAAATAAAGTGGCAGGAGAGGAGCGGGGCGGGCGGGCCAGGGAAGGGTAAGGCGCTGGGATTTTATTTAAGAGGGATGGGAACCTGCACAGGGTCTTAAGCAGGTGAGTGTCATGGTCGGATTCCCACATGGGTTGCTGTATGGATGGGCAGCTGGCTGAAGGGGGACAAGTTGACAGCCATCTTCCAAACCAGAAATGAGGCCTGGACTGGATGGAGGCAAGGGGTCTTGACAGGGGCTTGGATTGGGGGCTCTTGATGCCAGAGCTCTAGCAGTCCACCTTGTGCCTGCGCCTCTGCCACAAGCCAGGACGAGTGGCAGTGCCCAGCAGCACCCATCTGCAGAGACAGGAGGCACTCTGAGAGGAGTAATCCTGGGCAAGACCCAGCTCAACCCAGCCCAGCGCCCCAGGGAGCAGGTGGGGCTAGGAGGTGCGGCCGGGAGGAGGGTGGCGGGGGAGGGCCAGGAGACTCACTGTCTGGATTCTGGTCTCTCTTAGACCAGGCAGGGGAGGCAGGGTATATAAGGCTGGGGGTGGGGCTGTGGGACATCCTTCCTGGGCCTCTTGTGCCCTCAGATCCCCATCTCAGGGTGCCCTTGGCAAGTCAGCAAGCCCTCCCCCAATACACCCATGAGAACACCGCTGAGCTGGTCCAGTGTTATACTCTCTTCCGCTCTCAGATCTGATGTTTTTCTGGAACAGACCCTCATGGAGAAGGATGGTGAGAGGAAGACGGGATCAGGATCTCTGGGAAAGAATAGTTCACCTACTTCATCCAGGCCTCCTGCTGCTCGCTGTTGGGGATCCTGCAGTCGGCCTCAGTTCACCTCAATATGGTGCCCTACTTGATGAATCACACAAGGATGAAGTCTTATTCCTCTCCCCGACTGCCAGCCTGAAAATTCCCCATCTTTCCCTTCCCCTGTCCCATGTCTCCCTACCCCTGAGGAAGGGTGAGAAAGAAAGGATACACCCCTGTTGGCTCACCAGCCGGGAGATTTGGCCCCACTAGCTTGTCTTCGGCTCCCTCCCCTCCAATGCCTGCATCCCAGCAGCTCCCAGAGGTGCCTAAGGCAGCATGGCCTTCCATCCACATGCTCAGCTCTACTGCCTCTGTGGAATACAGAGTTTCTCTCCCCATCCCCCAAAAGACAGCCCCATAGGCAGGCAGGCGGGTGAGAGTCCCTAGGGAGGAGGGGTAGGTAGGAACAGTCAGACACACCTGCCTCATTCCTTTCCTCTTGTTCACCCAGGAGAGAGCTGTGGGGGCTGGGTTCTCTGGCCCCTTCTGCTCTCCATCCCAGGGAGGAGGAGGGAAGCGGGGAATGGGTGGCTTGCGGAGGAGCACATCCACCTCCAGCAGTGTCCACTATAGCATTACCTCTGGCCTCACCCTCTTCTGCCTTCCGGGCTTAAGAAGGACAGAGCTGGGGGAGAAGAGACTGAAGATGGGGGATATAGGATCAGGGCTGGGATATTGAGACAGGACCTGTAACACTGCAGAGCATGCTGCCTCTAGAGGGAGGGGTGGGCTGTGGGGTGGGGCAGCGGGGCTGAACACCAGTCCTATCAAGTCATGGTGAGCTGACATGTGCTAGTCTGACCTGTAGAGGAAGAGAGAAAACATTGGGGGTGGTACAAATAGGGCGCTGCCTATCCCCCATCCTCCCTCTTGGCCAGAAGCTGACTAGAGCCCTGGGTCCAAAGCTGGATCCCATAATTGAGCAGTCAGAGGTGTGTGGGGACTTGGTAAGAGCCCTGAGGGAAAGATAGAGGTGATAAAGGGAGGGAAAATGGGGCCTGAGAGGCACTGGGCTTATGCATGCTGGCTGAAGGTTGAGGCGGGAATCAATGAGCCGATTGTAAATAGGAGAAATGAGCTGAAACAAAGTGTAACAGTGGAGATGGGAGGAAGAACTTGCCAACAGCTGAGAGAAGACCAGGGTTGAGATTTGGAAATGACAGGTGGACCAGAGATTATTCAGAGGACAAGGGGACATCTCCACTCCCAATACCTTTCACCTTGATGGACACCGAGTCATCTCCTTGCAGGAGGAAAAAATAGTATGGTGTAATGGAGCCTGGACTGTCGGAATGGAGAGGAAGGGAGGGAACTCATAGAGAATGAGGGTAGTGGACGGAGCAGCAGGCAATGGCAGGATTAAGGGTCAGGGAGAAGCAGCCAGACGACTGAGGATGAGAACGGAGGCATCCTGCTTTTCAGTCACCCTAGGTTCCAGGGTTGGAAAAAGAGGAGGAAAGAGGCAAAGGTAGCGGCCTTGGGAGATGTAGGAGAGTCTCAGTGGGTGAGAAGCAAGGTCAGGGGCATCTGGGCTCTCCCCCTCTCCCTGCTCCCCACCCGGAATTAAGGCACCCCCAGCTAGCCCCCAGCAGGGGGCCTTCCACGTTGGAGTTTGGCCAGGCCCTAGTCGCGGTCCCCCTCCTCCTCCCACCCCCACTTCTCATGTGGTTGCCGGCAGCTGCCTGCGGTCGCCCCAACCCCTGCGCTCAAGGCACGGGGACTTTCCAACAGGGGAAAAAATGACTTAATGAGTGGGAGCCAGGGGCGGGAAGGACAGGTCCCTGTAATCACCGCTCCGCTGTGGGGCCTGCGCGCCTCCGGGCCCTTCCCCGGCTTCCTGCTGCCAGCGCCCCCCTCGGGCTCTGTTGGGGGAGGGCACGGGCTGGCGACAGTGGGGATTCCTTTTCAGGTTCCAGTCTCTCTTGGGCCTTCGGCTGCCTTTGCTCTCTAGGCTTGCAGTGCGTGGAAGCTGGGACGTCCCGTGATCCCGCTCTGTACTTCGTTCTTGAAGTCGATGGGGGGCAGTCTCTCCCTGATGCCAGGGTCCTCTGCTGGTGGATTTAGAAGGGTGTGGGATCTTGAGAGCCCTTTGCCACTTCGCAGCTGCGCATTTCGAAACGCCCTCGGTTGCTGTGGCAACTCGGGCAGTCGAGGTGTGTCCGCGGGGCTGGGAGGCGCCCACCCACCCTTTTCTCGCAGCCCTCGGGGCCAGGCTGGGCTGCTGCGGTACGCGGGGGTGGGGGTGTGCCGTTACCATGGCAAGGGTGCGCTAGTAGGGCACATTCTTCCCCAGGGTGGGAGCGCCCTAGGGATACGAGAAGGGGGGTGCGGGTGATGGGGGCAGCAGAAAGAGAAGGGGGGGTGTCAGGACGAGGAAGGAAACTCGATCAAGACTAACCAGGGCTTCTGAGATTGGGGTGAGGAGTTTGGAATCTGTCCCCCTTCCCCAGCCTAGCCCTTTGGGGACGTTCCTCTCCTCCTCTCGCACTCGCGCAGGGGTTCAAGTCCCCCAACCCGCAATTTCTGGAGAAGGGATCCCCGATTACCGACCCGAAAGTCTTTCGGCTTTCTCCAAGGCAAGATTCTAGAGCTAAGTGTCCGTCCCCTTCCCCCCGAGCGGATCTGTAGCCCAGACTGCGACCCCGAAAGCCCTGCAATTAAGCCCCTCGGCTGCCCCTGCGCCGCCCGCGGGTCCTCTGCCAGGCAAGGCCTGCACCGCCAATTACAGCAGCGCGCAGCAGCTGATTACTCCAGAGTCCAGGAAGCGACCGAGGGAGGGGATAGCAGGCAGGTCAAGGGGTTGTCCCCGGCCCGAGGTCCTTAATTGGAGCTTTGGGCTGAGGGCCTCTAGCCGAACTTCTCCGCTCCAGACAACGTGCGGAGGACGGCTCTACTAAGTGCTCCATCTCTGTTCCTCAATTTCGATCTCCTGGAATGCACACCGCGCCCAGGGCAGAAAGAGCGCAGGGAGGATGGTGTGTGTGTGTCTGTGTGTGTGTGTGTGTGTGTGTGTGTGTGTGTGTGTCTGTGTGTGTGTGTCTGTGTGTGTGTGTGTCTGTGTGTCTGTGTGTCTGTGTGTCTGTGTGTCTGTGTGTCTGTGTGTCTGTGTTGGAGCGTCTGAAGTCAAGGGCTGGGTCCTCAAGTAGCTCAAAGTCCTCGAGGCCGGCTCTCTTTTCCACCGCAGACGGTCGCGTGGGTCTCCCATGGCCCGGGGCCCCTCCCTGTCGGCTGGGCTCTGTCTTGCCAGCCCCAGGGACTCTGCCAGCCCACACCGCACTTTTGTGGGAATCAGAAAACAGCGCCCCCTCTGGGAGCGGGGCAACCCCCTTCTGCCAAGAGAAGGCAAATCTGGAGCTTGCAGAGCAGAGCAGCGAAGGCGCGGTGTTCTGCCACTA